AGTTCATGTTTATCTTTAGGTATCGGCCACTCTTCCACTGTCTTGATCTTCTGTGGATCTACCGCAACTCCTTGGGAGGAGACTACATGGCCCAAGTAGTGTACCTTTTCTTGACACAGATGACATTTCTTGGGGCTAAGTTTCAAACCAGAACTCCCTAGTCGCTTGAAAACTTCTTCCAAATTCTTCAGATGATGGTCAAAGGATTTCCCAACCACTATGATGTCATCCAGGTACACTAAACAGGTAGTCCAGGATAGTCCCTTTAACACAGACTCCATTAGTCTCTCAAAGGTAGCTGGCGCGTTGCACAATCCAAAAGGCATGACGGTAAATTGCCACAGTCCGGAGCCCACCGAGAACGCTGTCTTCTCTGTCTTTCGGCGCCATGTCGACTTGCCAATATCCACTCTTCAGATCTAACGTAGAGAATATCGTTGACCCCGCCAGCGTGTCTAGAGTATCGTCTATCCTCGGCAGGGATAGCTATCCTTCTTGGTAACATTATTGAGCTGCCGATAATCAACACAGAACCTGGTGGTACCGTCTTTCTTCTTCTTACTAGTACTACCGGCGATGTCCACGGGCTGTTAGATGGTTCGATGACACCCTCTTCTTTCATTTCGAAGGATTTTGTCAGCTTCTTCACGTTTGGCGAGCGGAAGTCTTTCGGATTTTGTTTGATTGGTCGTGCATCTCCGCCGGTGTCAATTTTATGTTGTACTAAATTGGTACGACTCTATCTCCTGCTTCTCCTTTATCAAACACGTCTTGATACTTGATTATTAGGTTTCTCAATTTTTCTACTATTTTCGGGAGATAACTTTAACGTTTACTAACTCCTTCACCATTTTGTCCGAATTTTTGAAGTCGAAACTTGGAGGCTTCCACGCTTCGAATGACTGAGACCGAACAACAGTACCATAACAGGGTTCCCTTCTTCAAGGATACAGAATAATAATTCGTGTTCATTACTCTCACCGGTACAGTCTTCTTCGCTCGTAGCAGGGCTTTTCCAACAGCGACCCCTCGTCCGATTTCGCTGTCATGGTTCCTTGGTTCCAACAGAATAATACTCCCATTATTCATTTTACCTTCCAGGCAACCTTTCAGGGATCGAAACATCTCCTGCTACCACCACGCGAAGCGTCTCCTCACATTTTCGATGCAGAACCACTTCTTCTTCATTTATTTTCAAAATTCCTTGTTTGAGGTTTAGCTCAAAACCTCTAGTGGTCATGATGTCCATTCCGAGAATAAGTTCATCTTCGATGTCTGCTACATTAACACTCGATGATTAAAACAGGTGCTTCCGATAACAAAATTAAGATCTACTCTCCATGGATGAGAGCGGAGCTCTGTAGCTGTACGTAGTCGCCATTGTGTTGTTTTAATCCTTTTTGATGTTTTAAGGATATCCGGCCTGATGATCGTTTTGGTCGCACCCGTATCCAAAAGCATGGTCCGTAACTCTCCATCCACGAAACCATCCACAAAAATGCTGTTGAACTTGTGTTGCAGTAGCGATGCGACTTGAGCAGTTTTCGTTGGGAACCTGTTGGGTACTGCCCGGATATGTGTCCCTTTGATTCGACACTTGGCGAAACCGGGTCCACGTACTTTTCTTTACAGTGACTTCTTACGTCCTGCCTGGCCGCAATTCCAGCAACAAGTCGGTCCTTTCTTGCCCATGTACTCCTCCATGACTTTCCGTACAATACTTTCCACGGATTCGTCGGAACATTGGTTGACCGCCCGTGCAGCTCTCACTAGAGACCGAGAACTTTGTTTCGCGGCCTCAAATTCTAGGGCACGTGCTAAAGCATCCACCGCGTGCGTTGGGTGGCTAGGAGAAGTGCTTGTCTTGTCTCGTTGTCACGTAAGCCGTCGGAGAATGCCTGTACTGCCAACCGCTCCATAACATTCTCGGGCGTAGCAGGGTACGCAAGGCGAACGAGGCTGGCTACGTCGGCTTCAAACCCTGCAGAGACTCATTTGACTTTTGAATGCGATTTTTAGCTGGGAATGATAGACATGTTCCAAAATGAGCTTGGCCGTACCTCATTTCTAAATGTCGTACCAATTGCTGATAATCTCCCTGTTCCGATGGTGACAATGTCTGCAGAATATCAGTCGCATCTCTCGCAGTGCGACAGTCAAAGCGGTAGCCTTTTCAGCGATTGTCCATCCGTTCGCTCGCAGCGGCCTCAAACTGGCAAAAATAATTGGCCCAAGCGGTTTTTCCGTCAAACTGTGGAGGCTTAATAACTGACTTTGAGATATACTTATTTTCGACTAGTTTCGGTGCTCCGATGTTTCTTGACATTTTGGTGAATTGGCCTTTTCTATTTCTTTTGTTTTAAAATTTCGATTTTTTATTTACATCGTCCTCAATTTGTGTTATTTTGTCTTGTAGCCCGCAGAATTCTCTCTATAATCTTTTCTTCTAATTCCCTGAATTTTCTGTTATCTTTTCTTCTAAATTAAGTATTTTATTATTAAAGCTGGCCTGTATGTTCTTAGAATTTTCTGCGATCTTATCTTCCAAAATATTAATTTTATCACTGATTTTTTCTTCTAAATTAACTTCCAAGTCAATTATTTTACTATTCAAATTGTTCAAGTTGTCGTCTAATTTTTGAGAATTCTGTCATTTTATCATTCAAATTCCTTCCAAGTTTATCATTTTACTATTCAAATTGTTCAAGTTGTCGTTTAAATTGTCTTGTAAATTTTTCAATGACGAGTCAAGGTCACCTTCCAGCTCGAAGTAAAATGTGTCAGGATCCTCACCTTCCTCCACCAAAACGTCTCAGTCTAGCTTGCAAAAATGCTTTTCTTTCCATCTGTCTCGCACTCTCTCTCTTCCAATATGCATTTCAGTTCGACACTTTCAAGTCTTTTCAACAATTTTTTCAGAGCCATGGTCAGTCTTTTATTCTTCTAGTCTATCACACACGCCACACTTGACACCAATTGTTACGTTTTTCGTCGGTTCCGTGTGGATAGAAAGTCACAATTTATTTAAACACTATTTATTTAACACTAATGAACAAAAATAATAACGATAAAAAAGACTTATAGAACTATTTACAAACGATTTATAACTAAGAATTTATTTTGAATTTTAGCGTCAACTGTATATTTATAACTGCCCTCTCTAGGCCACTGCCGCCGGCTTTTATACCGACAGGTAAAAGAAATCTAGAATAGTCCAAAGATCGTTAGGCGCATAGAGAAGGTTTTCGAATGTTCTCGTATGTACGAGTCCATTCTAGTGGGTCTCGATTCTTCTCGAACGAATGAATAATTGCGGTGTCTGTGCGATGTTAAGATCATCCGAGGGCGGGCCATATTGTGAGGTTAGGTCGAGTCCACACCGGCTCGCAACAATACATATCACATTCATAGAGATAAAATATTTATTATATAGTGAAAATTATTATATCCAACTACAAGATCTAAATTTTATGTCGGTACTATTGAAAAATTCTATATTCAAGTTCAATAAACTTTTAAATTTGGACTTATAAACGAACATTAAGTATATAGTCCAAGAAAATAGGCCTTCAATTCAAATACGAAGTTTTAGGAAAAACTTAATTTTTTCTATAAGTACTTTAGAAGATCTAAAAACGAATTGTGAAAGATTTTTTTTTAAATTCACCCCCGAGAAGGGGTGAAATAAATAAATAAAATTATTTTTTTGAAATTTCGGAGAAACGGTAAGGACTAGAAAAAAAATTCAAATAAGAGTTGTAGAGCCTTCAATTTTATATAAAAATGGTCTCTATACTATTTTTGCTCAAATCAAAATTATACAAGATGTAATTATACACCCAATAGGGTGGTTAAAAGCTAGGAGACAACTTTTATGGAAACATTTTTTTCAAAGTCCTTACCGTTTCTCTGAAATTTGAAAAAGAAACACTTTATATTTTTACACCCCTTCTCAGGGTGAATTTAAAAAAATCTTAATTGAAATTTATATTTTTCCAAACAAATTGAATAAAAATGTTAAATATATGGATTTTTCAGTTACTTGCCATTTTTTTTTAATTTTTACTATCATCCCTTAGTTTCTAGCCACCTTATCTTGGTTAATTTTGATCTGAGCAAAAAAAGTATAGAGACCTATGTAAAATTGAACGCTCTACAACTCTCATTTGAACTTTTTTTTCTAATCCTTATACCGTTTCTCTGAAATTTCAAAAAAATAATTTTATTTATTTATTTCACACCTTCTCGGGGGTGAATTAAAAAAAAATTCACTCTCCGTTTTTACATCTTTAAAAGTAACTTATATAAAAAATTCAAGTTTTTCCCAAAACTTCGTATTTAAAGGCTTATTTTCTTGGACTATAATATATCTACTTAAAACGTAAATAAGAATGGAAAACTGAAAAAAATTGTTTTTTTTAATAGTTAATATCAAATGAACGAAAATAAATTATATTAACAGCAGTCAAAATTATTATTATTATTATTGCATAGTAATTTTTAAAACTGTATGAAAATTACTCTAAATAAACTTTTTTTTATTTTAAACGATGTGCATTTTTATTTAATATATTATATGTAAATTCAAAAATACCTATATTTTAATATACAAATGTTATTCACATTTTTCAGGTTTCTTGTCTGAAATTATGTTTTTAAAATGTATAATTAATATGTTTGATGTTTTAAATTTTAAGTCTCTAGCTTGTCGCATATCCAACGGTAAAAGCATAGAAAAAAAGCTCTGATCTCTTTTAATAATTTGAGTGATCGTTAAAAATACATACTAAGGAATGGTTTTATCTGGAATTATTACAATATAAATTAACATTGGCATCGCCGCACAAAATTCTCTTGAATTTATCGCCCTCTGTTATGTAGTAGCCAAACTACCGCACCAAAATATCTGATTTGGAGACAGGCTTTTAAAGTCTGTCTCCTTTTCCTTTCTACAATTTTATACGTTTAAGGAGGCTTCTGTTGCGTAGCTAGATATTCTGTGTTTGAGGTTACTTACAAAATAAATAAGAATTGTTAGTGAATTTATAAACTAAAATGGTAATTATTAAATCAATGTTTAGAATCGAAATAAAATTAGATTTTGTAGAAATTTCGTTTCAATGGCGATGCTTACTGTCCAGACTGGATTCTAGCAGAAATTTATACACTATCTCGCTTGTCTTCAATTAAATTAAAACTTCTAGGCCAAATAGTAGTGCAGGGCATTATAAATCCACCCTTGCAGGTAAAAAGTGTTCTTGTAGGTGCAATATCATATCCAATAATTCATATATTTTAGATTGAGAAAGTTGAAAAACTTTTTGCTGATTCCAAATTAGGTATGGCTGTTGTTTTATACAACTCGAAAATCAAACGTATTTAGAGATATCTTTTAGATACGGATATCAACTTAAAAGCTTGCATAGCTTGTTTAACTTACATTATATCTGCTGCAACACGGTTTAATTAGAAAGCAGTGCCTCCAATCTGAAACTACAGCAGCTAGGGATTGCTAAGAGAACATAGTATATCAATCAAAAGAGTTTACGATGAACAAAGTGGTAATTTAACAGATTATTTTAAGTCCAGGTCACTGAAAAGTATGAATTATATTGAGTAAAAAACTCTGTATGATTTTAACTTATTATATTGTTCTAGTAAATAATCTAGAGGATGTCTCTGGGAATTTCATTAAAGAGACTGGATGTGGTTTACTAAATCTGTCTATAAATGAGAAAACAGAATCACTAAAACTAGCTCCAAATACTATTAAGAGTCTGCTGGGAGACTTAGTTGCAGTGAGGAATAGAATGAAAGATTTAAAGGAAGCATTATGAATCATATAAAATGTATACATATAATTTTTTTTTATTAAATATAACCTGTAACTTATAATTAATTTTGTATAAGTTTAGGGGCAATATATACAGTCCAATATATCGAGCTTAAGTCTCTATAATACTTAAGAATAAACATTTTTAAGTTATTGCACAAACATACTTATAAAAATTAGTAATTCCCTTATTGATTCCGTATTGGTAATCTGGCGAATGCGCTGGGAAATTATTAAAGAGCTTTCTCCGAAGCCCATTTTGAATGTTTTCATAGTCTGCCGAATGCGCCAGGATACCAAGAAACGCAATATGTGTTTATGTATCTAGCTTGTAAATTGTAATAAAATTATTTTACGCAAAAATATTAAACTTTTACTATAAGATGCTATAATATATCCACTTATTACTTTTTGTAAATTTACTTTATTTTTTTAGTGTAACTGAATAATCCCCAAATATACCATGTAAATATGATAAATTTTATATTGGTAAAACATCCAAACCCTTAAATGTTCGAATTAAAGAAAATTGATTATTTAAGAAAGGAAGATTTTCGCAAATCTAAAATTTGTCAGAATTCAAGGAGCACAGGACACAACACAAAAATTATTATGAAAGAAGCGACAAAACGAAAAATAAAAGAGGCTTTTTTAATACAGTCTAATAAAAATAAATGTATTGCTCAGGCATCTGTAGGGGTTAGTAATGTATGGTTATCGCTTTTTTGATTTTAATAAACATAACATAAATAAACATAAGACAACATAACAGTAATTGTCATCAGGCAGTAATTGTTAATTTTGAGTTTAACTTGCAATAATGTTATTTTAACAGAACGTCAACCGTTTTTATATAGGTACGTAAATTGTTCTTGAAGAATATATTTTAAATAGTTTCTTTCTTTGTTTCTTAGTGTCTAATTGCTTGCGACTACGGGGTTAAGCATTTTTTTGTCCGTTGGGCAAATTTGTTTATTAGTAAATCACTGCTGACAAGCTGGTCTTCGTACGATTAATGGAGCAGTGTTTAGAAAAAAATAACTATTTAATTTTGTAGATTTTCTTCCAGTGCAAGTGGCGAAATACCCATAGGACTTTTTTGAAAAAATGATCCCCTCAGTTTTCTAGAGGGAATTGAGTTAAACAAAACTATCCTGTTTTCCTTGATACGATCTGATTGAGCAGGTAAGACTGACAGGTAAAACGTTATGTGTAGACGTAGCTTTAGAAAGTCAAAAACAAAAAAGTGAGAGCAATATCAAGTAATATTCTACTAATATAATAATGGTTTCATTGTGTGGGGCTTTACATACGAATTAAATTTATCAGAATAAACAAGCTCTCAATTTTAAACAAAATTTGATTAGAAAGATCTTGCTGTGGGGGATTTAGCAGGCGATGGGCCACTATCTGGATGCAAAAGTAATTTAATATGTACCCCTGACCGCGAGTCAAACCGAACATAATCTGCAACTATAAATTCCCGATCGTAATTTTAAAATCACACAAACCGATAGCGGATCGCGTTTTCTCTATTATGCATAGGCGGAACTTGGCGGAGGGCATGTGAAGGGATTTGCCGCCAACGACAGAACGGTGTTATGTGTCTGCAAGACGCGTGCCGGTCGCGTGGCCGATAAAACCCAAATCGGCCTGTAATGCGATTGTAATGACCCGTTCAAGCGACGCACATGTGTTGACACGTACGCTTCAATCGCAACGAATCTGCACCGATAATAATGCCCTTTTGATGACGCCGCATCTACTTTACTTCTTTTTACTGTAAGAATTATTTAAATATAGCGCCAAAAACTAGGCTGACAACTCCTTCCTGGAAGCATAGAATTATGGGTAGCTTGTTGTTATGGTGTTGTTAGTTGTTATGTATTGAGAAATAAACAAAATTGGAGAAAAAAAATATAAAAAATTACATGAAGTCATTTTTATTGTAAATACAATAAAAATTAAGGCTCCCCCATTTATATTACTTACAGCACAACAACCAATCGATATGGCGAATACGATCGAACGGAAAATGTGAATACCCAACGCCCTTTAAATATAACGCCTTAAGTAATTATTGTCAAATCATTAGCATCAATAGGAAATTCTTGGTATTAACTAATTAATCAATTTTAATTATATTAATTAAAAAAAACGATCTAGCTAGAACTAGAGATGAGCAAAACTGTGATTCCAATCCTGAAGAACCTGTGATTGTGATTTTAATATTTACCAAATCAAATTATTCGTAAAAAAATTCTATTGAGCCATAACTTCGTTTCATTTGAAAAAATCGAGATATGATTAAAAATACGACTTGGGCATATTTTAACAGGCCAGGACAAGACGCGAAAAACAATAGACAAACAATAGAGATCCTATATTTCCAAGACATTTCCTAGATTGAAATTTAAAATACGATTTTTTTAAATGTCAAATGTCAAAAGTTGCCATATGGCATGCCATTCTATTCAGAGTGTCATTTTTATCGAATAAAGTAAAAAAATACCGAGGGTGTCATTTAAAAATCAAAAGTTGTAGTCATTTCCGGCGAAACAGGAAGTGACTGAAAACAATTGAAAACGTCAATCAATCCTAATTTATGTCATATACTGACATACCAAATCTCGTTTTTTTTATTAGAAAAAATTAAAAAGTTATAGAGATGAACCACTCTTGAGAAACACCCGGTATATTATTGATCGTGGACCTAGAAAATAATACCTTCTCTATAAATAAATAATATCAGAGAGAAAATTCAATCGCAGTTTACTATAAAATGCTTCAATAGACCACAAAATTACATTCGCAACAATATCGCAACTCCTAAAAATTCAAACTCGCAGAAAATCACGGTCCCAGTTTACAAAATCACAATCGCCTCAAAATTGCAAATCGCAACAAAATCGCAAGTCGCAACAAAGTCGCAAGTCGCAACTACAGTAATACTGGTTGCCTAAATTGAAACTCGCAAATAGAAGAAATCGCAATCGCAGTTTCCTATGAGAGCCAACCACAGGTTGCGATTGCGATTTTAAAATCGCTGCGATTGAATCGCAGTTTGCGATTTCTTGCTCATCCCTATATTGAATACTTATTTTCCTCTAAACAACATTATGATCGAATAAAAACGGCGTCAGCGATGGCTATGAAATGAAGATCGCTGTCATTTTATATGTAAAATTATATGGGAAATGTCATCTATCGTTATTTCCAAGCCCACTGGACGCCTTTTTTTTTGATTATACGATTGATAAAACCGCAACTCCTCATACGAATAAAAACCATTTAAAGAATAAGCTAGCTGACAACGGCCAAAAAATGTAAATTAAAGAGATCTGCTTTAATAAAAACGATGACATATTAAAAAAAGGTAGCTAGTAAAAAACAAATTGTTAATTTCCACTCAGGCATGGGAGATTATCGTTGACCATTGAAATATAAAAAGTCTCCAATTATCCGGGATTTCCGGAAAGGGAATCGCTATCCTTAATGACAGGGAAAAAATACGCCAGCTCATCGGATTACATCATTCAGATGAGATTCAAACGGGGGATGGATTACTTTTATACCGGCTAAAATTGCGAACGGAAACTGGAATCCGAATCGATCCGAAATTTGTCATTTGAGGAGGAGGATACATTTCCAAAATCGCTTATCAATGTTCAAATGTGCCACATCTGTGCAAAAGTTCATACTCCTAGTAGGTACAGATTTTTTGTATAATTACACCCTTTTATCTGATACACCCTTATGGGTCAATTTTAAAAAATTACTTAGTAAGGTATATCTTAGAGAACTAATTAATATTCTCCGTATTTACTCCAGTTTTCTAATACTAGCACAGATAACACATAATCATACTAGTTAATTTTTTATTGGAATAGAAGTAATTTTTATTAGAAGAGTACAAAAATTAAAAATCTAAAATTTTTTTTTTTTTTTTTTTTTTTTTTCATAGCCTTAGGATACCTCATGTACTAACAGATACAGAAATATATAATCAATGCATTTCTTTAAATATCGAGAAATAAAATATGTTTAGCAACACCGTACGAAATATCGCCGCGTGTAGTCCTCAAAATTTAAAATATTAGCATTTTCAGGCTTCGATTATATTCTAAAAGCTTAAATGTGACAAATGCTGAAAAACTTCCACACGAGAGTTCTTAAAACTATAATATTCTTTGGTATTACTACCGTTTTTTATATACAGGGGGTTGAAATCAAGACCTTCTCTAATTTTTATATATTTGAATATAAATGCCATTCACTTACAACTGAATGGTATTCGTATCATAGAGAAATATAAAATAAATTCGTATCCAAATGCATGAAATTTACATAAATTGGGCTATCTTATGATAAATGACTAGCAGTTTGAAACTGCTAGTATAGTGATGCTTAAAAATATTAATGAAAAAACAATCAAGCAGTTTCAAACTGCTAGTCATTTATCATAAGATAGCTCAATTTATGTAAATTTCATGCATTTGGATACGAATCATAAAGTAACTAAAATAAAATAAATAATGTTTGAAAGGTTGTCTAACTTGGCCATAATGTTGCATAGTTCAGTTAGGGCTCCAAAGCGTCACCACCTGCTACCTGTCACGTGTCATGATAATATTGACAAGTGACATGACAGCAAATTATATGTATTTTGCAATTGTTTACAATTGTGTTTTGAATTTTGGAATTTTGTTATTATTTTGTGTAGCATATACTTTGTTTGTTTGTTTTGTGTTTGTGCGTACAGAAATTCTGGAGGAAGTTTTATTTCCCGAGGAATCAGAGACCTTATATTTCTCTATGATTTGAACTTTATGTTTTGTGCTATGTATTTTGCCGTCATCATGTAATATTTTTTTCAGCCGATGATGTGATTTAAACACGACCCAGGAAAGGGTATCATGCAAAGCAAGTTCGATATGTAAAGACATTGCCCATCTCTCAACTCCGTGAAAGTAAAACGAACTGACTATAAATTCGCGCCTTCATTTCATAGTGTTGCACATTTGCTACCTCAACTGAACTTCAACTGCTGAGTTTATAAATCCAACTTAAAGGTGAATTAATTTTTGATTATGT